GGAAACCCGCCGGGAGAGCGGGCGGACGGAGGGACAGAGCGGCAACCGGGACCCGGCCGCCCGCCCCAGACAAAAATCCTCCATCGGGCGGAGCGCGGCGGCCGCCGATAACGAAAAAAACCCTTACCGGGACGGACAGACCGACACGGACAGACAGAGCGGGGCTCCCGTGATTAACGAAAAATCCCTTACACGGATGGACACACGGACAGACAGAGCGGGGCGACCGCCGTTAACGAAAAAAAACCTTACCGGGACGGGCAGACGAACACGGACAGACAGAGAGCGGGGCTCCGTGATTAACGAAAAAAGAAAACCCTTACCCGGCCGGACAAACGGACAGGGACGAGCAGAGCGGCGTTCCTGTAATTAACGAAGAAAAAAAAAACGTTACCCGGCCGGACAGACAGACACGGACAGCCGGAGCAAGGCTCCCGTGATTAACCAAAAACCCCTTGCCTGGCCGGACGGACAGACAAGGGCAGAGCCGGGCTCCTGTAATCAACGAAAAAAAATTCCCTTCCCCAGCTGGGCAGGGACGGGCCGAGCAGCGCTCCGGTAATTAACGAACGAACGGTAATTAACGACGGACACACTGACACGGACGGACAAAGCGGGGCTCCCACGATTAACGAAAAAAAAAACCAAACAACCTTTACCCCGACGGACAGACGGACACCGCCGGGCGGATCAGCGCTCCTGTAATTAACGAAAAAAGCCGTTGCCCGGCCGGACAGACGGACAGAAAGGGGACAGCTCAGGGCTCCCGGGATTAAGGTAAAAAAACCCTTTACCCGGCCGGACAGACGGACAGAAAGGGGACAGCTCGGGCTCCCCGGATTAAGGTAGAAAAACCCCATTACCCGGCCGGACAGATGGACGCGGCTGGGCAGAGCGCGGCTCCTGCGGTAAACGAAAAAAAATCCCCTTACCCGGCCGGACAGACGGACAGAAACGGGACAGATCGGGGCTCCCGGAATGGAGGGAAAACCCCGTTGCCCGGCCGGACAGACGGACGCGGCCGGGCCGTGCAGGAGTCTCGTCATTAACAAAACACCGATCCCTTACCGGACGGGCGGGGCGGTGGCCCCGCGGCCAACAGCGAAAGGAACCGGGACCGCAGACAGACGGACAGAAAGGGGTCCCTGTCACTAAGGGAAAGCCCCGTTACCGGCCGGACAGACGGACGCGGCCGGGCCTAGCGGGGCTCCCGCCGTAAACGAAAAAAAACCAACCCCTCCGCCCCGACGGACAGAAACGGGAGCGATCGGGGGCTCCGGGACTGAGGTAAAGCCCCGTTACCCGGTGGGACCCACGGGCACGGCCGCGACGTCCCGGGGCTCCGGTAACGAGCGATGGAGGCCGCCGCACGGACGGACCCACTGGTGACAGCCCCCGGTGGGTCGGGAGGCGGCGGCCGGG